ATATATATATATATATTAAATCAAATAAGCAACGACTTTCGGTCACCATTTTTTTGAATTACTGATAGGTTCAATTTTGGTTGTTTAATTTGTCTTTCATTTAGACTAACATATTTGAAAACAGTATGGATTCAATGTGTTGATTTCGCTTTTATTGCTGTAATCCCATTTTCATTCTTCTGACCGTCATAGGTTAAACATTCATTTTAAATAATCAATCTTGCAAAGCTAATTCTAAATTTTGTAAATCAAACTAATGTTCGGTAAATATTTTAATTGTTATTATTTTTATTAGGCTTATTAATATTAAGCCTATAATTTTCCTTATTAATATAATTTTCATTAGTAATATTATTGTTGTTGATGCTGGTATGTTAATTGTAATCTGTTATTATTTTGTTTGTTGTAAATTGTTTATTATTTATTTATTAAGTATGCAGGTTACACTACTTTATTAAAAATGTTGCTAAAACACATTATAATGGCCACCGTGTTTGTCTAAACTAATTATCTTACATTATTTCCCCCAGAGATGTAAAAGACGCCGGTATTAAGGAAATTAAACCAGGAAGTTTCAGAAATATTGGACACATGTCTTCAGTGTAAGAAAATGTTGTTGGGTGGAAAGGTTGAAAGTGATGCGTTATTAAGTTACAGCCATATAAATTTGCCGTTATTTATCATTTTAAATTATATTTTTTAGACATTTAAATTCAAACGAAATTAAGCACCTTCCGCCGAGGTTCCTTAGTTCACGTTATTTATTCGAGTTGTAAGTATTTTTTAGTTTATTTTTATTTATACATAACATATTTTATCTGCAAGAATACATTTCAGTAGCATAATCCAATATATTATTATATAATTTTATACACTGTTTTTCAAATGGTTCTGGTTTTGAAATTGTTAATACTTATTGCATTTTGTAATTCGAGGGGAAGTGAATTCCAGCAGCTGGCACTTGCAACCTTAAACGACATGCATATTTTTTCTGGTTTCATTGGTTCAGTAACAACGTTTAATATAGGCCAATTGCATTGCGGGTGTTATGTTTGTGTCGATCAATCACCAATTCAATATCATCCGTTAACCTCATCGGGGCTAACCCATGTATGTATTAATATATTAGGCAGTTACTGGCATAAGCTCTCCTTTCTTCCAAGATTGACCAATTTAACTTTTCATTTAAATCATCCCCTTTATACTTAATGTAATCAGAATTAATTATTGTTATTATGCGTGCACATTTTTTCTGAATTCATTTGATAATGTTATTGTTTTATCAGTTGTATTTCCTCAGACAGTTAGTTGATTGTGAAGTGTTTTTATAAGACTGATCTAATAGTGATTTTTTTTTCTGAGTTACCGAAGAGCGAAAACCTTGTTCCACTGGATTATTTTTATATGATTTTTTTATATTACACTTAAATAAAAGTACTTTGCTTTTAGTTGAATTAAGAGCAAGGCGGTTATAGTTTGAAGATATGTGTATACATATATATATACACAACTATATACAGGCAATTATATATTTCAGGCTATAGCTTGTGAATGGATAGATTGGGAAATCTACGTAGGAATGAAATAGGATCTAGAACACTGCCTTGGGAACACTAATATTTATATTGTTTGACTGAGATTGTGTGTTACTAATATGCTAGTGATTTTTTTCCTATTTGCTAAATAGATATTATGCCAGCTAATTTCTTTGGGTTAAAATAATAGAATACTTGTATCAGTTGTATCGAAACATTTTGACACGTTGAGGAAGCAGGCGCCGGCCATTCCATCTCCATCAACCGCAACAAGGACAATCTCCTATACAAACATAATAGTTGAGTAATTATGAAGAAAACCAAATTGTTTAATACTTATAAAATCATGTTTGTTTAGACATACAAGTAACTGTGCTTGAATTTCCTTCTTAACAATTTTCGCAATATGCCCAATTATACATATTGGTCTGCAATTACAAAATTTATTTCTGGTCAGCGCTTCGCGCCTCACTGCTGTTGTTGTCGTTGTTTTTATTGTTGTTCTTGTTTTCGTTACCAAAAATTTAAAAGCGTCCAGCGTCTCCAGTATTGAACGGATGTGCATTTCCAAAAAACGTTCATTGTCCTTTTTTGTAAGTTTGTTCCAGGGTTCCTCCTTCACCTACAAAACAAAACAGGCGTTTCAAACTTTAAAAGCGTCCAGCGTTTTGAACGGACGTGCAGGAAATTTTGTACACATAACTAGAGGTGATTTCCTCAAAAACGTTCATCACCCTTTTTTTTAGTTGGACCCCAGGGTTCCCCCTACACCTACAAAACAAAACAGGGGTTTCAAATTTTAAAAGCGTCAAAGGTCGTCAGTTTTGAATGGACGTGCAGGAAATTGTGTACACATAAACTAGAGGTAATTTACAACAAGCGTTCATTGACCTTTTTTAAGTTACACTCCAGGGATCCCTTACACCTACAAAACAGAACAGGGTTTCAAACTTCAAAAGCGTCCAGCTTCGCCCGGTTTGAACGGACGTGCATGGAATTTTGTACACATAAACTAGAGGGGATTTCCAACAAACGTTCATCGCCTGTTTTCAGTTTGACTCCAGAGTACCCCTACATGCAGCCACAAAACAAAACATGGGTTTCAGCAAGGATGTGTTCTAAAGAATTTAAGGTCGTGACTCATCCATTACCTTTTCAATCAATCATGTCAATAAAATAATAATTTGTTGCTCCGGCGATCAGTATAAACAACAAATAAGTAATTTATCTATTTGTTCATATTAATTTCAATCCATATAGCTTCAATTTGGTAACCCGAGTTCATATCTTTCCTCAGTTTATATTTTTATTCCATGTGGTATGAAAAAAAACATCCCCACCCCTTTTGTGCGGGGGTGCACTCGCTTCGCTTGCTTACCAACTAGTAGTATGTTAGACATCGCGATTAGATTTGAAAATAGAACAATTATTCATGATCACTAAAAGGTTGGCCTGATTATAGATGGAAACACACAAAATTCTAAGAAAATTTATGACTGGGCCTGGACCCCTAACGTCCATGTTACCGTATTTTCCCTAGACAACTCATGGATTGTGGTGGTGAACTCCATTTCCAATTTTAATATTCATATTTGTATTGTAATATGGTAGGATAAATGAAGTATGGCGATTACAACTTTTATATAGTGATATATTATAAGGTCTCGAGGTCATAAGGTCTGAGCCTCGTTGTCGCTAAGTGATGAAAATTGAAATGTTCAAAGTTGATGAAACTGATTCAACTAGGCCATGTAAAAAGAAAGAGTTGTTGATTGTAGGCAGGGAGCTTGTTTTTTACCCTCCCTGAGAGGGAGAAGAGGGTATTGTAATGAGCTCCCTCTGTCTATCGGTGTCGGTCGTTCTGTCGGGCTGTCTGTCAGTGTGTCGGTCTGTGTGTGTTTGTTCTTCCGGGAGCATAGCTCAAAAACTACTGGACCGATTAACCTCAAACGTTCACACATTGACAATATTACAGCTAGATATCTCGGTCTTCCTTGAATTTGGTGCTTATCACAAATAAATATAGATTTTAAAACATTATTTATATAGTTTTCGTCGCAACTGACAGCCAACTCGAGCGGATCGTCCAACCTAGTCATTTGGCTAGGCCAGATTGACTCGAGAATATCGACCGCGGACCGACTATGTGTCAAATTCTAGCCGGCGGACTGAAGCAGCCTGGAAGTTGTGTAAGCCCGACTGATGGGCTTGCCATTTGAGGTCTACGGTAGGCCTCGTTTGGAGAATGGATTGGAGAAGTAAGATGCAGATTTTGGAATGTTTGAATATTTTCTTGTGCTATTTTTGTACAATCTGCTGTCCCAATTTAAAAAAAAAAGATTGTGAGAAATAATAAAATATGAAAAAGAGTATTCTATAGATGCACAAATAATAAAATAACAAAATAATTAGAGAAATAAAAACCCCATTCATTCGATTAAATTTACAAGTAATAAGTGCACCTTTATTGTGTTACACCTACCGGTATGCAGTACAACAATTAGTGGATCGAGCGCATCGGTTATATACAAAGATATGGCGCAACAGAGAGAGGGTTTGTAATCTCAGATTTTCTTGTTTAATCTGTAATGAAACCGCTCCCTTGATATATGCCACGTCTTGGAAGGCAAGACCTCATTTAAGCTTCAACGGATTTTCCAGTGTAATGTTTGATCAGGTGGAATTTATACACTCTAACAACTCCCTTTACACGAACAACCTATTTTTACATGACCTTTTATAAACCACAAGAATGTAATTTAATGATAGACAAATAGAATGTTTAATTTCATGATTAATGATCGGAATAAATAGATCTGTTTCATAATGTTTACAAAAT